CGTTTTGAAAAATAACTTTTAGTTTTTGAGAAAACAATATTTGAAGTTTTGATAAAATTTTCGATGTTGCAATTTTCATCGATAATTTTCAAAATTCGCTATACAATTAAGTTCTTGAAGGATCCTTGTGGAAATATCACCAATTATTAATTAAAGTATCCTCTTTTTAATGCAAAAAGCCGTTTTGAAAAATCATTTTTAGTTTTTGAGAAATAAATTTTTGAAATGATCGACAATATTTTCGAATTTTACAATTTTAAAGTAGGGTATCATATCAACCCGGTATATACTTAAATATTTTTACTTTGTCAACTTAAGATACAAATTGTTGTTAAATTAGACCGTTTAAAAATAAATCCAGACGAAAGCAACGAAATGTTAAACGTTAATAATTTAGTTTATTTTAAACAAAACAAAATATTCTTACTTAACTTAAACTATCTATCTATCTAAAACCTATATATTCAGGTTCATTTGTTGTAATTTAACTTTTGTTCATTTGGATGTTTGCACATTGTGATGAGTCTGTATCTCCATCACTTTCAAAACCCGAACTTTGAATTTCTAGATCAACACTATCATCTTCATCATCAGAAAGTTGCGCAGAATCAGCAGAATATGAACATATGATACTTGGTTTTGGTTGTTGCATCGACTTACTGTATTCATATTTGATGTTCCAGTTGTGAGCTATGTACGTAATCTTTCCAGCTCGCTCGGTTGTCAATCTGTTTCGTCTTTTATGATGAATGAACGAAAAAGTTTTAAATGATCTTTCAGTTTCCGCCGATGAAACTGGTACAGTTAAAATTCTTATAGCAACTTTACATAACGACATTGTACCACACAGTCCTCTCCACCAAGAAACTAGAGATGTAGAGTGGATACAACTCCAGAGAGCTTTTGGACCATAATTTGTGCTTTCAGCTTTAATTTGCTAAATCTGTCATAACATTTTCACGGGAATCGACGTTCAAATCTGCGGTTACTTTATATATGAATTTGAATTTTGATTTAATGGATCTAGTAATGCAAGTGGAAAATGGCTCTTTCCTCTCTTCAAATGATTTCAAAATATTGGCATCATCGTTTTCATTCAAGTTCATATCACTTCCGGAAAGATTTTCTCTTAAATTTACTTCAACATTTGACATATATTCACAAACTTTGTAAACAATACAGTCTTGTGTTTGAAATTTGTCTAAAGATTCCACAATTGGTTTCAGTATTCGAATGGTTGCGTCAATTTTACGCCAAAATGTTAAGTTATCTAATAAATTTGTTTTCATATGTCCAGGTAGAAATTCAGATGATTCTTCTTTTACAACTAGGGGTTGAAGTGACATTTTTGATTTTTTAAAGGATTCGAGGCAGGCGAGAGAACTATAGACCAGGCAGTTTTAACGCAATATTCACTTTTCTTTCTTTATTAATTTCTATAAATATGCCTTATTTATTAAAATATAGACGGTTTTGATTTTTTTTGCAATTGCAATTATTACAGTGTTTATAAATTCTTGAATACAATTACACTTCAGTACATCCCGGCACAGTAAATGAAAAAAATATATGTGCTGGTCATCCTAATGGAATTATATGACTATACATTTCTTGGACATATTTGAAGATTTTTACATATTTGCAGCGTTGTCCCCTATTACACATATTTTTCAATTATTTCGCTTAATTTACCAGCTAAATATTCCGCGGTATGCCGATGTGTCTTAGTATTTATAAATCTACGAAAATTGGTTCTGACTTTGTTACTATAAAATTTATGATGGCTTCATTCCTAATATTGCTCCACCCATCATATTGTAGATTAAGGTTGCAGATCAGATTTAATTCATGTTTTAATACAGCGTAGTCATGATCTAGATATGTTGTTGAAAGAGATTTTCGGGAAGCTAATGTATAAGGTGGTCTTAAAGTATAAAGAAAACCTTTCCACAGTGGTTGCTCTACAATAGAGAAGGGTGTTCCAGACGCATATATTGCTTTGGTCAATCTACTATCCAAGTTTTCCTAAATGTGAAATAATCAGTAATGTTATTATTGAGGTCATTGATGATAATGTTGATGTCGATAAGGAAGTCAACGATGAATGTTGCATAGCAATTTGCAATGCAATCTGTTTTGCATTGGGCCTTTACATCATTTGACATTTCATACACTTTAAAATGTGATTCTTCATTTTATTTATGTTGATCAATTTATACTTTGATTTGCAGTATTTACAATCTACTGATTTGTGTTTTTTTTTATCGAACAAATCTTATTTTATCCCTCAGTTTTCCCATATTGTATAGATTTCTGTAGATAAAACAGAAAACAATAAAAATCTTTTTTTTTTATTTTGACCGTTTTCAGTAATTGTTGATTTTGCTTTCTGATAAGCATGTTGATTTGGATAGAGTGTATTAGTGACAAGCACTCCAGTCCTAAACTATTGATCAATTACCTATTCCATTCCTTTGAGGAGTAATGAAGTTAGGCTAATTGGTCTGTATGCCTTGGGATCGGCGTTTGAATGCCTACCACTTTTAGGTATACAGACCACCTTTACTTTTGTCAATAGTATAGGTATCTAGCTGAAGGTGATAGCTTGCTATATATAGGGATATTATTACTGGGGGCAGGTCTTCCATGCCTTTTTGGGTAATTATTTAGATACATTCATATTGCCAAGAAAAAGCAAGTTCAGTATTATTATATGGATAATTTTGTACGTCATTATTGTTATGGGTAAAATGATTGTATTTTTCTTTTCAGCAGATTGGGATGTATCAGATTTACATCCCAACAGTATTAATAATCCTGCATCTATTAGTAATGATTCCAAAGACAAACAGAATTCAAAGTGAATATTCTGTTTTCTGCATCTTAATTCATCTTTCCTACAATCAAGACATAATCTTCTACAATCACCATTGGTATTTCTATGGTTAGTGAATTCTCCAAATTCATCATATTTTTTGATAAGTTTTTCTACTTGTATTTTAGTATTTCTGTTTCTCTCTGGGGTATAATAACTTTATCTTCAGGAATGATCAGATAGTTTTTCCATATGCAGCTCAAATAATGGCCGCAATCCAATAATTACTGTCTACTAGAGCTAGTAACACAATAGAGAAATAGCTTATAATTACAGTACTTGGAAGGACTATGTAGCGGTTTAACAGTTCTAAAAAAGAAAGAGGAAAAGGTATAATAGTAAAAACAACATATATTTTTTTTTTGTAAAGAAGGCTTTATTAAGCGACAATAATAATAATAATACATATTATATGAGTAACAAATTTCCGTTACGATCAATAAATGGTCAATGTAGTAAAAGTTTTTAAAAAAGATTTATTACGTATCTAAAATGAAAAAAAAAGTTGGGTCAGAAAGATTGGGTTACAATATCACTAATTAATAATAATTATTAATCGTACGTATATAATTATTATACAGCTGTTTTTTTTAATGATAAATCATCTATTTATGTATATACAATATGTAAATATGAAAATACTCATTTTTCTACTACAAAAAAAGAGTACATTGAAAGCTTTCTTTTTTTCATTCTAACTTTCTAACAATAAGCTTTACATAAACATCTTTTTATATTAAAAAGGTAAAAAAACGAGGTTATCTTTAAAATGAATGTAGCACCAATAAAAAAGTAAATAAATAACAATAAACAAATAATTACAAAATTTCCCCTATTAGAAAAAAAAAAAACAGACAAAGCTAGTAAATAATATTCTCATAGTACATATTACTAACAATATTTTTAATCGTTACTATTAAATATTATTTTTTTTAATAATATATTAATATGAATACATTTTGTGCTGATGATTTTTCACAACTAAAACTCAACTAAAAAAAAAAAGATCTCTTATATATGTGAATCATTTCATATTTTTTTCTTTCGTTTTGTTCAGACTTACATAGTTACATTTAAAAACCAAACAACAAAATCGATTTGATTAAAATAGATAATATTAAATCGGCGGCAACGCCCATAACGTTGCCGTTTTATCAGCAGACGTTGATAAAAATGAAAATTCTGTCGGATGCCAACGTCCGGAAATTACTTTATCTTGATGTTGTGCTACCACTACACTAGGTAAAGGTAAAGTCAAATCACCTAAAAATAACAAAACAATTAATTTTAATTGATTTGATTAAACTTTAATTAATTTTTACCTTGAAGATCTGTAAGAACCAATTTATTATCATAACCTCCTGTTAATAAATAATAAGCTGAAGGTGAAAATCGAATTGATCTTGTATCAGCTGAATGCGGTTTAAAACATTGAATATTTCTTCCTCCTCTTATATCATACAAAACACAAGAACTATCTTCATGTCCAGATACCAAAAGTCTCCCGGAAGGATCCACGCATAAACTAGCCACGGGCGAACCTTGTCTAGTTCCCGGTACCGTAATCGGCGTGACCATATTTACGCAGCCTCTTGTCCTCAAATCCCAAAATCGTACGGTCTTATCGTGAGAACCACTCACAAACATAGCACCGCCCCATGTGTATAAAGACAAAATGTGGCCAGTGTGTCCGCTGAGCGCTTGAAAAGGTGTTCCAGTCGTACAATCGGTTACGTAAATTTTACAGTCACCTGCGCCGCCAGAAATTAAAAGGCTTGATTTATTTGTGGTGTCTTCCAAGAAACATACATCGCGAATTGTTCCGTCGTGCATTGTTAATTCAACTTCTTCGCCTTCTAAGTTTGAGGTGTCCGCGTTGAAACGCATTAATTTTACGGTTTTATCGTTGGAACCCGTTGCCATTAAGTCACCGATTGGGGACCAAGCAAGACAATAAATTGAGCCTTTATGGTGTTTTGTTCGTTTGAAAAGTACCATTGGTTGATAAGTTTGATGATCTTCCCTAAAGAAAAAGAAATATTTATTATTATTAATGCTTCATTTTGTTTGGTTTAGTTGATTATAGTTAAATTATTTTTATTTGCAAAGAGAAAGGATTGGAAATGAAAAATCTTCATTCTTATTAAATTTCCATATTATGTTATTCGAAGGATGATTACTACAATAATTTATTTAACTTTCGAATGACAAAATGGTAATATGTGAAAGATACATCACTTTCAAACGTTCTGTTAGTGAATGTATTATGTGATTATGCAACCAAATTTTATATTAAAAAATTATAAATTAAGAATGCAGATTTATTTCAATGATTTGGTTAATTTTCTATCTAGAAATTCGCGAAAGTGTTTCGTGGTGAAATCTATCTTGAAATAGTTTTGTTCTCTGACTCATCCATAACCATGTTTAAGATGTTGTATTATGACTTACTTCATCTAGTATACAGGGTGATTCTTAACCTATACACATAAACTTGGGGATTTATTCCTCACGACAAATAATTTACTAATTGGTGAAAAAAATTGTAGTTAAAGTTTTTTAGTTTCCTAGATATCCTTGAAATTAACTTTCGAATTAAGAATAAGTAGAAATTAATTGAAACAATTGCAACTTTTACAACTTACGCCTTACAAAGTACGCTTGCGTCATTGTGACCTTTAAATTGTGAAATAAAACTAATAACATTTAAAGCTTATAAAATTAGCACAATTAAAACTAGAACTACCGTCCTTAATCAAGTTTATCTATGAACATGGAATACAGCAACTAGAGAATAACCCGAGTAGGATTCTATCTATATGACTTTGCATTCTCTGTTACATTAGTAAAACTGCTGAAAAGCCAAAGTAGCCTCAATAAGTAAGAAAAATTAATTACTAGAAACATTTCGTTTAGCCGTGCGTCTTTTAAGACGGCTAAACCTGAATGTTTCTAGCTCTAGACCTAATGTTAGTTCTAGGGACAGTGGTAGGTAGCGATAAAACTATATTGCATAGTTTTATTGAACTAAAACTAGAACTAACACTAGAACTAGTACAAGACCTAGAACTAGAATCATCCGGGTTTAGCCGTCTTGAAAGACGTGCGGCTAAATCCGAATATTTCTAGTTCTCGGTCTAGTGTTAGTTCTAGTATTGCACTAGCACTATCACGAGAACTAACATAAAACCTAGATTCGGGTTTAGCCGCACGTCTCTAAAGACGGCTAAACCAGAATGATCTAGTTCTAGGTATAGTGTTAGTTCTAGTTTTACACTACCACTATCACTACCGTACGTTTCTTAAGACGGCTAAACCCGAATGATTCTAGTTCTTGGTCTAGCGCTGCACAACAATTAAAACTAGAACTAACACTAGAACTAGAAACATTCGGTTTTAGCCGTCTTGAAAGACGTGTTGCTAAATCCGAATGTTTCTAGTTCTAGGTCTAATATTTGTTCTAGTGACAGTGATAGGTAGCTCTAGTTAGCATAAGATATCACTATGTTCCATATTCTTATTACACTAAAACTAGAAGAAACACTAGACCTAGACACCTAGTGTTAATTCTAGTTTTACACTAGCACTATTACTATGTAGAACTAAGAATATACCTAGAACTAGAATCATTTGGGTTTAGCCGCACGTCTCGAAAGACGGCACACTTTAAGACAGCGCAATGCAACAACTTCGCTTTGCACCGATGTGTGCGTCGCAATAAAATCATACAGATTCAGACCAGAAAAGATTAGAAAAGTACTGATAATATGGGCTAAATCGGGTCGTCAATGATTGAATTTAAAATAACTGCTAAGATTCGGTAGCAAACACTTCCTTAACAATACATTATATCAACCTTCATAACATTCTTTGATATGCGTTGAAAACCTTATCCAAGTTTTATAGGAATTTATACTGTTATTCCAAGTTCATATAAGAAATTATGAATTTTTCTCATACATATTGTGTTTTCTTCATTTGTGCATATTTGTCTTTATTCGTGGTTAAACATTGTGATAAAGTAATTGGCTTTTCTTGCATCATACAACTATCTAAGATTTTATTCCACTCATCTGTTTATATTATTATTATATTTGTATTTCCAAATACAAATACTCTTTACAATTCTTGTTTGTTATTTGGTCATTCTAATTTTATCTAATTTTAATAGCTACTAATTTAGTAATGCGTTTTATGCAATTATATATTCAGGTACACCACAAAACATTTTAAAGTTTTTAGCCAAATATGGCTAAATATATATTTGAGATATATATTTGTATCCTCAAAATGGAGTATTACAGTACTACTCTTTTTAAAGCTTTTGCATTGTACTCTATAATCTAGGGACGTGGCTGGGATGATGAATTCCAGCATTCAAGTTTGATCTTGGGATACCATCCTTTGCAATATTCGGCAATCTGTTATCATCCATCCTCTAAACATGGCCCCTCCATGCACAACGTTTGGATCGGGACCATCGGACTATATCTTGGACACCGCAAAGTTTTCTGATATCTTCGCTCCTTTTATGATCACTCAGGGTGTAGCCTGCTATGGATCGTAGGGTTCTCATCTCTGCTATTCGAACGATTCTTTTTGTTGTAGAATTTTCAGCCCTTGTTTCCACAGTGTAAGGCATAACAGGTCTTACGCAGGTCTTATATATGCGGATTTTACTTTGTATGGTAATATGTATGTTTCGCCATATTATATAGCGCGCAAATACCCCGATATGAAAGCTGCGTTGTCTGAGCTTTGACTTCCTCGCGAAGATCTCTGTTACTTGTGATGCTGACACCGAGATATTTAAAACTCATAACCTGCTCCATCGGTTTATTATATATTATACAGGGTGATTGAAAAAACCGCTGACAGACTTCTAGAGCAGGTAATACATGAAAAATTAAGATGAAAAGTCTTAATACTCGCAAATGGCTCCTTAACGACATATAGCGGGTCAAACTTTCTTAAAATTAAAAAACATTAATAAATTAAACATTATCTGCATTAAAAAGACCTCTTTTTTTGAAATATTTTCTACGCCACTGCTAATTTTGTCAGACGGGCAGGATTTTCCGAATTGATCTGTTACAAAAATTTGGATAAAGAAACAGTTTTTGAGTAATTTACATTTCAACTAATTTTGTAAGAATGAAATAACGTAAACAATAAGCAACAAATTTATTTTGTGAAAACGTAATGGTAATAATTGGAAATAATGTAAAAAATCAGAGTAGTTGTTGGAGTTGTACACTTTGTGATTCGATACACGCTTCTTCTACGCTCCGAGCTAAGGATCTCCTTATTCTTTTCTTTGACGGCTAATATCTCGTTAAGGTGGCATTTGCGAGCCTATGTATATTAAGACTATTCATCTTAATTTTTCATATATTACCTGTCCTAGAAGTCTGTCAGCTATACCAGTTTGTATCTTCTCTGCTCTTTTGATATGGACAGTGCTTTAGACTTTGTTACCGATATTGTCATGTGGTACTTGGTAGCTGTTTTTTTCAAATTGAAAGAGCATTTTTTGCAGGTTGTCTGCGTAGCAAATTATCTTTAGCTCTTTGTTTCCCAATGTGCATCCCTTTCCAACCTTCTTTACTACAGTTATTAGTTCGTCCATAATCAGATTGAAAAGGGTAAGGCTTAAGCTAGCTACCGCCTTGTCTTTTTCCTGTCTGCATGGGTATTCTTCGTGTCTTTGTGCCTTCCACTTGTATTTGGGTCCAATTGTCCGTATTTAACTCGATCATGATGTTTCTTATATCTGGGTGCACATTTTCTTGTTGAGGAGTCTCACAACATTTAGAAGTACTAGGCGGTCAGAAGCATTCGTAAGATCTATGAAACACATTTATGCTGTTTTGTTGTATTCTATAGATTTTTCCACGACTTGTCTGATTCCAAAGATGGCATCTATAGTTGACCTGCTCTTCCTAAAGCTTTGTTGTTCTTCGCTTAAGCCATGAAAAAATTTCTTCCAGGATTTTTGTGAATAGCTTTAGCACAGTACCTAATAGCGTGATTCCCCGAGAGTTTGCTGGGTCTTTTTTACTTCCTTTCTTAAACACTGGAATGGTCACAGTTTCTTTCCATTTCCTTGGTACCTTCCTGCTATTCTTATTAACGATAAAGGATAAAACATATCCTTAATTTTTCATTACATATAATTATTAAGTTGTTCTTATATTTTATTCTTTTTCATTCGTTTTTCCATTTCTAACCTTTTCTTTTCCTTTTTGCAAACTTTGCAAAATATGTACCACTTTGACAGTTTCCACAAGTTCTTTCATATTCAGCACACTGCTTGCCTCACGTACAAATAATACTTCCATGATATATTTTTTATTAATGTTTTCTTGATTGTTGTGATGAAAGGTGTGATTCAATTCCCAGTAGCTTATGCAGATAATCTAAATATTCTTAAATTCTATTCTTCGGATCATGATATGTTTAGTCTATAATCAGATGTCTTGGTGGATATCAGAGCCGTGATTCACGTACGATTAACGTTCTCATTTTTTGAAATAAATGTTACAATGACAATACTTTTAGTTTCTTTATTGAAGGTTAAACGTAACTTTGTGTTGAGGGAATGTGGGTTAGAGTTGCAACTGACTTTGAGGGTTAACATCTTAACATAGTATTTTGAAACGTGTAAATTTTGGTTCTGCACTTTGAATATATGTTACCATCGCATTCACAACGCAAAATTGTGTAGGGAAGAAGTATGTGTAGGTATGTGTGTGTAGGGTAAGTTATAACCCCAAGATAACCAACCAACTTGGTCTAATTAAATTTTTGTGTTCATCTTTATCTTTATAGATCTTAATATTTAAAAATTAATTTACCTGAGGTCACTAAGTTTTGGATAAGAACAAATCCGTAAAGTTTTCGAATTCGATCCAACAGCATACAACTGTCCACCCGGATGAAATTCCGCACATCTAACAGCTTGGACATCTTCCAAAGCAGTAACAGCAACAAATCGAGGTCTTGCAGAATTTGTAGAATCCGTTGGATCTAAATCTTTCCTTGTAGCAGGCTGAAACAATAAAATAAAATATAATTTACAATTTTCTATAATTTTGTACAATTTTACGCAGCAATTTGATACAATTTTCTTAACGCTTTTTAAATTTACTTCCAAATTGGATAAACTCGATTAAATCAATAAATCGCAGCAAGATAATGGTAAAACCAATTTTCTTCTCGGTGTAGACATTAAATTTGACGAATAAATAGAGCAGAAAACGATGTTATCTGTGAAACGGTTGTGGTTCTTGAACGTATGTGATGTGTTCTACCGACCTATAAACGCGCGTACCACACTATTTTATCGATGGGTATGCCTCAGCAGATGTTGTACGGGTGTCATCTGGACTACCCATTTAAATCTAAATCTATAAATTGCGCCGACTAGGTCATTATAATATTATGTGTAAAGTACAAACAGATGCCAACCGGAATAACATTATTCATTTAATTATGTTATTTCTATTTGAGTAGACTTAAGATATTAAAATTGTTTTATGTTTCAAGCCTTTTCCATAGATATCAAGTAGAGCGTAAGCTTCAACTAATTATATATCCAACAGTCATTAATAACAGGTACTACTTGGTAATAATTAGTTAGGAAACGGAGAAGATTTTAACCTTAAGAAATACATTTTTAAAATACCTTTTTATGGTATTTAATATTTTACGATTTCCTACGCTCACTTTTACTTACGCGTTTATTGCCAAAGATTTTTTTGATGTTATTTGCTTTGGAACTTCTCACGAGAAAGATCGTTATTGCTTAACGAATCAGGAAGAGAAGTAAAGTAATTAGTAGGGTAGTTGTAATTAAAGGGAGTAATTGAAAAGATCGTGAGTTGAAATAAATTGGAAATGTATAAAGAATGAAGTGGTAACGGAAAATAGAAAAGAATAACAGAAAATTGAGAGATTAATTACTGCGAAAAAAAAAAAATTACAGTTTTCTTTTCATTTCATCGTCTGATTCATCTTTTGATTATAATTTCATCATCAATTTGTAATTTTTATTCTTTTTGTTCCGATGCAAATTCAAAAAGGATAGAAAGAAAAAATTTTTTTCTTTAAAAGAGGATTTAGTTTAATTATTTAAAATTTTGCTGTTTATAAATTTTGTTAGCAAATAGGGAGTAAATGTCACAATACTATCCTGTTTATTATATTTCAAAAAAGGCAAGAATTAGTAGTTAGTAATTTCAACATGCATCTAACAATTATCTTTCTATCATGAAAACGGATTTGGGTCAAAAATTAGATAAGCTTCAAAAGAATCACTGTTCAACGTATCCAGCACTGGATTGGCCATCTCCACTATTTCAGTGGCGTTGATATGGGCGAGCTACAGTGAAAACGTAGACTGTTTAATCCAGTCACTGGACTGGATTGCTAACTGGAATGAGTGCATTCTAGTGCATTCCAGTGCCGGGCATAGAAATTAGGATGTATCTACGTTAACTTATTAGATCTTGAAATTTCATGTAATATTGTTGATAAGTTAGAATATAATATTTTTAGAAAACCCAACAAAAGAAAGCAGTTCCTCTTAGTGCAGAAAATTAAATAACATTATAACAATAACTTTTTTACTCATTCTTAACGAAGATCATTATTTGATCAAAACATGTAGTATAAAATTATAACAAAAGTATGTTTATCACATTGAGACTCTTATTGTTTAATGGAATCAATACAATATTTTTTAAGGGAAAACTTGTATATTTATTATTTATCGTAAAATTAATTAATTGTCTTGTTTTATGCCTTATATTTTGGAATCCAGTTAAATGAGTCATAAACAACAGCACCTTAAAGAAAGACACATGATTAACGCTTTGGTTGTAAGAATTTAGAACTCGAACGATTGGCGACTACAACAATTTCTGTTAGAACTAAATGTGGCGTTACATCGTATAAACCATTGTGGCTCATGAAACACTGTAGACAGCGTGTAAGAAATTCCGTACTACAGTAACACACATACTTGAAGAAAAACAGTGAGGAAACACTATAAAGCAAAATGAAATGAAATGAATGAAATTTTTATTACAACAAAGTACTATAATAGGATGATGTTACGTTGTTAATTTCAAAGAGCCGCCTGATTATACCCATATGTTAAAATATATTATATATTGCGTTATTTAATAAAAATATAATGCTTTAAAAGAAGTAACAGCGTAACAACTTTATGGTTAAATTCTTCTTTTGTGGTTCAGTTTTGTATTCTGTTTGTAAATACAGTTATAGAGGTGGCCTTACGTTTATTATAACTATAACATATTAATTATAACTTTTGAAATAAAAGAATTGCAATAATAAGTAGATTAAAGAGTAATTTAAAATTATATGTATACAAAATGTCGAAATTCTTTTCTTTTAAATTGTACAGATATTAAATCAAAGTGACAGATTTTTTTAGAGTAATAGAAATTCTTTTTGTGTTAAATAAAAATCTTTCTTCTGATAACAAACAGTTTTATATTACAGTTGAGCTTTTTAGATCAAAAGTACAACATGATGATAGTACAATACATAAAATCAATACTAACAATTAAATACTTATCTAGCCTGACAATATATTTCGATACTAAATAGTAATAACAAATAATAATAACAACTTTACCTAACCCAAAAATGATAATAAAAGAAATATATTAGTTAAGTACCAATTTCCTTTATACAAATAATTAAACCCACCAATAAAAATAACGAACCACCATAAAGCATTTTAACATGAATCACTTTGGACATGAATTTCCATCAGAGTCTATAGCCCATTTGATGACTGATTTTCAGCTGAGACAGTATCAGAGGTCAAATCACTACTCGCATTATGCACTTTTTAACTGTGATAATTATAAACTTTTGATTAGGAAGAATTTGAGCATTTTTAGTAGTTACTTTAATAGAGTGTTTAAGGATCAGAAAAGTTTTTTGGTAAAACCCGAGTATTAGGAGAGCCATAAAAATCATATAAAATATTATATCTATTCATATAAATATTATATAAAACTAATTCGACAGCCGCACTCCAAATATGTTATTCAAATTACTGTTAAACTATTAATATCGCGAAAGTCACGATATGCAATCAGCAGACATAAGATTTTCAATCAGTAGCAAAACATTAGGAGAAAAATATCAAGTAAATGAATGATGCAGAGCTGTTATTAGGATTTGTCAACAATTCGGTGCAAATCGAAAAGTTGAAGAGAAAATTTATTTCTTTCGTAAGTCGCATTTTTGACAATATTTATTAACAAATCGTCATAAGACATTGGCAGCGATCCAATCTATGCAATTCCATTGAATAAACGATATATGAAAATTCTACCTAGAGACGTAACGGAATACAAGGAATGAGAGTTTAAAGTTAAAAGTGGAATATCTGAGTGTGTCACGAGATATATGTATAGGTTTTGGGTTCCGAAGGATCACGAATACTGCCGGTATTAAAACAGAAGACGATACACTAAACGAGGTTGTGGTTGCTCCTAGATTACGGCAAGACTTTTGGCAAAAAAAAAACCGAATGTATTATGTTGGTATATCTGAATCGGCAGTGTCTTTTATAAACAGTTTTCTATCTGACCGAGTTCAGGTGGTGAGATTGGATGAAGAATTTTCGGCTCCCTATTTACTCTGTACACTTCTCAACTGCCTAAATGTGTTAGACACTCGTCAGTACACATGTACGATGATGCCAAATCAACAATTTTCCAGTTAAATTGCCAAATTAAAGTTTTCTAAATTGCCAAGTTACCTTTGATTTACCATCTGATCAGGGTTGAAGAAAAAACATGCATTTTTTAATTTTATACAAAACACATGTTTTTTCTTGTTTTTAAATTTTATGTTTTAAAAAAATAAAACTTAGAAAAAAAGCCTGGAGGAACCACAGACTATTTATAAATTCGCATTGCAAGTTGGCTATTGTAATAACGTCTACTGTAAGTTATTTTGTGCCTATGGTGTTCTTTTTTTAAAAATGTCGTCTACGGGAAGGAAGAGAGATGCCATTTGGTCATATTTTGAAATTGTTAAAGATAATAACAAAAAATCAGTGACTGCTAAATGTAAAAAATGTAAAGTAATTATGGCTGGACTAGTGCTGCGTATGAAGAAACACATTCAAAAATGTGTTCCATCTGAAAATCATAGATAGTTGACATTGGTAGCTGAGAACCAATGTCAACAATCTATGATTCCGAGTCAGATGAGGATTTAACACTAGATGAAATATCCAAAACCCAAAAATATTCAAAGGATGTTTACCCAAATAATAATACAGGTAACTTTGAATTTTAAATTTTTATTTTTTCGGTATTACGATGTTGTTTTTAACTCAAGGTTAGATTAGGTTAAATCTAACCTTTTAATTAAGATTTGATTTGACAAAAATTACCGAATAAATCTTTTTTTTTTCGAATAGAATTAGACAGGAAACATATAATAACTTATGGTTGTTCAGCCCATATATTGAACTTACTTGCCCATGATATAGAAGTGCCAGGAATAAAAAGTAATATCAAAAAAATTTGTAAATATTTCAGAAATGTACATTTTGATGGCGCAAAATTCCAAGAAGCTGGTGGTTCTTCTTGTATTGCCTGAGGATGTTCGTTGGAATACTTTACCGGACTGCTTGGAAAGTTACTTGAAAAACTGGTCAATATTATTCGACGTTTGCTCAAACAACATAATAAGTATTGATAAAGGTATAATAAAGCTTGTAAATGACACCAATTTAAAGACAAATGCCCAAGACTATTTAAAAAATTAAAGTATATCGCAGTTGCTTTGGACAAAGTCCAAAAAAACACTTGCACTATAGGAGAGGGTACAGAGATATGGCTAGAACTTTTGGAAGCATTCGAGACTGAACAACCAAATGGAGAATTGTCGGTAAGTGATACGAATAAAGTAAAGGAGCGTATGGAAATGGCTTTGATCCCAGCTCATTTTTTGGCAAATTTGCTTGATCATCGCTTTAGAGGAAATAAACTT